CAGCCATCATTGTTGTTTGGCTGGCCCAGGCTGGATTCAAACACGCCAGCTCAGGTGTATGTGGCTGGCGCCTTAGCCGCTTGAGCCCTTTAAAAATTTTTATGTGAACCAGGGGATCCCACTTTGCATATAATAGTTGTCCGAAAACTTTTAAGTAACATGTCTTGCCCAAAGTTCTTAGAGATACCCAAGTCTTGACCTTGCAAGTGCACGTATCTAAGTTTTTCTATTTTTGGGTGTGTGTGTGTGTGTGTGTGACAAGGTCTCATTCTGTTGCCAGAGCTAGAGTACAGTAGTATCAACATAGCTCACTGTAACCCTACACTCTTGGGATCAAGTGAACCTCCTGCCTTAGCCTCCAGAGTAGCTGGGACTACAGGCATGTATTACCTTGCCTGGCTAATTTTCCTATCTTTTGTACAGACAAGGTCTTATTATGTTGTTCAGACTGATATACATTAAGTTTTTCTACAGTAAAAACAAACTGGCTATAACAATCAAGTTCAGAGGACAGGGAGCATTCTAGAACCAGAATACTATACTGTTATTGGAGCACAATGTAAAATGACATAGGATTACTGTATTTTACCACATAGGATAAAGAGTTCAGGTGTTTTTTTTTTTTTGGACAGGAAAAAAACTTTTTAAAATTATGAACTCAATCCATTTGGCATATTTCAAAGGTGCAATACTTTTCTTCATTTATCAGTGAAAGAAGTTAGAAATTAACTTCCAAAAAAATCAGCAAATGGCAAACAAATTTCCTTGAAAGTCACGGTCACATATATAGTGCATCCTAGAAAAGAGGAAGGGCAAGACAGGTTCTGCCCACTTTCACGAGTTTCATCAAATACTGGATCTACTCAAGGGTGGAGAGAAAAGGCAACGTTCAAAGAGCACCAGATGGGGAACATGTTTTTGAAACTAGAAAAAGTGAAATGTGGAATCAATCCATTCTCCTCCCCTTAGGGCTGTCCACTGGTTAATGAAGTAAAAAAATAAGACTGAAAAACAAAACAAACCCCATTATAGCCGGGTGTTGTGGTGGGCACCTGTAGTCTCAGATACTTGGGAGGCTGAGGCAAGAGAATTGCCTAAGCCCAGGAGTTGGAAGTTGTTGTGAGCCGTGTGACACCACGGCACTCTACCAAGAGCAATAAAGTGAGACTCAGTCTCTACAAAAACAAACAAAACAAACCCCTCCACTCCCCCCCAAAAGAGGGAAAAAACCAAAACCAAAAGGGCGGTGCTTGTGGCTCAGTGAGTAGGGCGCCAGCCCCATATACTGAGGGTGGTGGGTTCAAACTCGGCCCCAGCCAAACAGCAACAAAAAAAATAGCTGGGCGCCTGTAGTCCCAGCTACTTGGGAGACTGAGGCAAGACAATCACCCAGGCCCAGGAATTAGAGATTGCTGTGAGCTGTGTGATGCCATGGCACTCTAACAAGGGAGATAAAGTGAGACTATCTCTACAAAAAAAAAAGTCCAAGAGTATATGGCTCTCCACCAATCATAACTGTGATTGCATAGTTGTCAAAGTCAGAACATATTCAGATGGAAATTCGTTGTATAGGCTATCAGGAGACATGTTTTAGCAACAGCACCATAGCCTACCACAAAGCACTTAATTGTCTGCATTGCTGAAACAGTTTTATTTCTACTTTAAGTATCTCAAATCTGATGTTGACCTCAGCATCTCCACTGGGGTGTTGGCAGCACTGCCTTTTTAAAAATATCAGTTTCACTCTGTTGCCTGGGCTAGAGTGCCATGGTGTCAGCCTAGTTCACAGGAACTCCAAACTCCTCAGTCCAAGCAAACATCCTGCCTCTGCCTCCCAAGTAGCTAGCACTATAAGCACCCACCACACCACCTACCTAATTTTTCTATTTTTGGTAGAGATGGTCTCTTGCTCAGGCTGGTCTCAAACTCCTGAACTCAAGGGTCTCTGAGAGTGCTAGGATTACAGGCATGAGCCACTGTGCCCAGCCTAGAGATGCTTTTAACATGACCATGTTTGTTTTTTGGATTCAGGGTAATGGGAGGTTGTTACAGACATGCCCAAAGCCAGGTCTTCTGCTCCTTAAGGAAATATGGCGGCCCCAAACTTGCCTGGTTTTGGTCAAGTGTGGTTCTAGAACCTTAAGTGAAACATAATTCCCTTTAAATCCATCAAGAACTAGGCAGAGAGCATGGGTTCAAGATTTTTTATTTTTAGAGCTTGCAACAATTGGTTAACAATGCTAGCTAAGCTGGTACAATCTGAAGGCCATGCCACCTTTCTCTTTAGGCATTCAACTGACAACATTCCTACAAAGATCAGAGACCAACTGGGATCTGTCTCAATGTGAGTGGGGGGAAGAGGCCTTTTCCCCACATACTTTCGCCAACAAGACTGTTTCATAGCCAAATGCAACTCAAACCCAGAACACAACTAGTCATCTCCAATACCAATGATTCCCTCCCCAACCCCAGCATAGGAAGCTGAGGTACAAACAGGAGACTGACTCTTATTATAAGAGGTACTTGGCTACACCTCAATGGAGCAACAATGGTAAGGCGACTGGCATCACAGAGTGGGGATTAGCAGGCCCTGCAACAGGCCTATCTAGAATCAGTCAAGTCAGCCCCAGGCTCCTTGGGTGAGGCGTTCCTTTGAGTCCTACTTCCATGGGGCTAGATAAGAGGGCAACTGGTGATGATTCACCATTCCCTGTCCCTCAAATTAAAACATGATAAACCCAGAAAGTCTTACCTTCAAAATCCACCACGCCTCCTCATGAGAAACATTCTCTACAGTCATCTCTATGCCAGCACCCACTCCCTTGTCTTAATGCCCAGGGCTTCCAGCCCTTCTCCCTACCCTTGGGTGGCTCATCCAACACTGATTTGATACTCCTTGACTTATAAAATGACTATTTAAAAAAAAAAAAATAAAAGCTAGAGTATCAGTAATAGGTGGACACTCAGTGGATATGCCCCTCTCTCTTATATCCTGCAGATCCCACCCATTCCTACCCCCTAGCCCGGGAAACCTATACTACAACATCCCAACAATGGCCTGGGGGTGGCCCAAGGGAAGCTGCCTGAAGTGCTTTCCTGCCTCTGATTTCTATACCAGCCAACATCACAGGGAATCAGGGTGAGAAGAGCAGGGACATACCTTGCCCCCCAGTCGATCCTGATGGCCAGAAGTAGGTCTGGGAGGTTTAGCTTATCTCCTGTAGCCAAGCCTGAGTCCAGTACCCACCCTGACCAGTACCTCAGTCCTTGGTTTTGAATAGCAGCAGGTTTGCCTTTTCTTACTCTTTTCTGTTTTTTTTTTTTTTTAATTAAAAGCTGAGGTAGTGCTGGGGATGATAAAACCCTACCAAGAAAGGCAGTATTTTGACCTAATAAAGCAGTAAAGTAAGTCTCAAGAGTTAAAAAAAATAAAAATAAAAATAAAAATAAAGTGATTGATGAAGTTGAATAAATTAAAGATATGGATTATCCCACAAAGACCTTTCCTTTTCGGGCTTCTTTGATATTTGGCCAGCAACATTTATCTGTTACTTCTCTGTATTCCCCTTTTCTCTCTCTCCCAAGAGAAGGCCAAACCCCAATAAGGCCCCAGCCGTTTCATCCCACTGTGGGTAGGACAGCTTGACATGCTCAGAACTGTGCCATGGCACCTGACAACCTTGGCAGATAGCCCTGATATGAAAGGAGGATGTCTTATAGGGACAGAAGAGGCACAGCCAGCAGGATGCCTGGGCTCCAGCCGTGGGAGTGCAGGAGGTAGGTTTAAGACACAGAAGCCCCAGGCCTTCTCTCCAAATGTCACACAGCTGGCCCCTTTTGCTCAAGTTTCTCTGCAGCAAAGAGGGGAAGATGGGGAAAGAAGGAAGCGGAGGCTGCTGCTATCTGGCACCACTGTCCTCAGAGCTTCTTCAAACGACTGTACATCTCCCTTTTGCTCTTTTCCCCTGCCCAGGTCCGGCTCTTGGTGCGGAACTTCTTTAGGTCTTCTTTAAAGTCTTCATGGTGCATGGGTCGGTAGCTGGGAGGCTCACAGTGAGACTGTGGGGACAGGACAGGACAGGATGAAGTTAGGAGTACACCAGCCTCAAACTCATAACCAAGCTCTCTCCTCGCCCTGGGCATAAGGGTGGGAGCAGCAATGCAGACCTGGGCATTGGGCTCCACAGGGGCCTTCTTTGTGCAGGGCAGATACCCACTTTTCCCCCAGACCCTGGCAAGAAATGGTCACAACCATCAGACAGATCCACTGGTCTACCACTTGGGGGTGGGGTGGGGAATCCTCTCCAGAGATGCAGTCTTACTTGGCATTTCAGGAAGAACTCCTTGTATCCCCCCTTCAGGACATACAGCTCAGGATAGTGAAGTTTTGGATATTCATTACCAAGTCGATCTCTCTCCCTCACATACCGGCACCTAGTAAAGGGGAACAAAGGACACAGGGTTAGTGCTTCCATTATGCAGAAACATAAAAGACAACCCAATACAAGCAACGACTGTGGTTTAAATAATCCTTACGTATCTTCCCAACTTTATTCTTGAAAACAATCAGTACTGAGCTGCAAATTCCTGACCACGTGAGTGGTGTTCACAGGCAGGGCTCATAGATGGTCTCCTCCACAATCTTCCTTTCTCCAAGTCAAACAGTCTTAGATCCACCCCTGCCCAGTGTCTTTACCACCACTTGCAGCAATCACTTCTTTTTTTGTCTTTTTTCTTTTATGGAGACAGAGTCTCACTTTGTGACCCTCAGTAGAGTACTGTGAAATCATAGCTCACAGCAACCTCTGCCAACCTCTGGGTCTTTGGGTTTAAGTGATTCTCTAGCCTCAGCCTCCCAAGTAGCTGGGATTACAGGCACCTGCCAGAACGCCCGGCAATTTTTGGTAGAGATGGGGTCTCACTCTGGCTCATGCTTGTCGCGAACCTCTGAGCACAGGTGATCCACCCACCTAGGCCTCCCACAGTGATGGGACAACAGGTGTGAGCCACCATGCCTGGCTGCAGCAATCACTTCTAAGCCAGCTTCCCTCTGCCACATTCCATAGCCTTTCCTCAACAAGTCTTACTCCCTTACTTCCTTTTATTCTTTCTTCTTGTGGCTTTTAAACAGGCTAAGCTTGCTCTTGCTTCACGGTACCAACTTGTACTCTATCCCCAGACTGAATGCTTTCCCCCCCAGTCCTCATCTGGCTGGGGGCTGCTAACTGCCCAACTCTTGCTATAAAAGTTCAAGTCTTTGCCAATCGAGAATTTTACACATTTCTGTCATTTGCATAAAGAATAACCACTTAAAGGTGGTGCCTGTGGCTTAGTGAGTAGGGCACTGGCCCCATATACCGAGGGTTGTGGGTTCGAACCCAGCCCTGGCCAAACTGTAACCAAAAAATAGCCGGGTCCTGTGGCGGGTGCCTGTAGTCCCAGCTACTCAGGAGGCTGAGGCAAGAGAATCACCTAAGCCTAAGAGCTAGAGGTTGTTATGAGCTGTGATGCCATCGCACTCTACCCAGGGTGACAAAGTGAGACTCTGTCTCAAAAAAAAAAAGAATAATCACTTGGTTGGGCCTATTGATTCATACTTATAACTTTAGTACTTTAGGAGGCCAAGGTGGAGGATCACTTGAGGTCAGGAATTCAAGACCAGCTTGCCCAAGATAGACCCTGTCTCTACCAAAAATAAATTAGATAAATAGCTGAGGCAGGATTGCTTGAAACCAGGAGTTTGAGGCTGCCATGAGCTATGATAATGTTATGGTACTCCCCCCTAGATAGTATGAGACCCTGTCTCTTAAAAATGAAACGAGGAGCAGACATGATAAAGCAGAGGCTAAAACCATGGGGGATACTGCATGGGCAACACTAGCTATAGGTCACAGACAGGGATAGACTAGAGAAGCCTGAAAATCCTAGCTGAAGCTGTTAGGTCAAGACTATAAACCACAACCAAAGAAGCTGCTCACTTAATCAATCAACTGCTAAATGGACAAGAAATTCACAGCAACCTCAAACTGTTGGGTTTAAGGGATTCTCTTGCTTCAGCCTTCTGAGTAGCTGGGATTGCAAGTGCCTGGCAAAATGCCTGGCTATTTTTAGAGAAAGGGTCTAGCTCTGGCTCATGCTGGTCTGGAACCTGTCAATGCAGGCAATCCACCCACCTCAGCCTCCTAGCGCTGGGATTACAGGTATGAGCCACTGTGCCTGGCCAGAATTTATATTTCTATAAAACCATAAAATTATGGGGCGGCGCCTGTGACTCAAGGAGTAGGGCACTGGTCCCATATACCGGAGATGGCAGGTTCAAACCTGGCCCCGGCTAAAAACTGCAAAACAAAACAAAACAAAACAAAAAAACTATAAAATTATGTATCACGTGAAGGCTAAGGCATGAAAATGACTTGTGATGTGCAAGATGCTCAATATGCTCCAAGTATAAACCACACACCACCATGTCCCACAGAAGTGTCATGGGGCCTCTGTCCCAGAGTCCAGTTCTGTGCAGCACTCACATGCGGGGACCTCTCTCAGAAGAAAACTCGCAGTGGAACACAACGATGACACGCTTGCCATCAGTAGGAACAATGGGCTTCTTGAGTAAGAAGTCTTCAACCTCCTCCTCCATGTGCAAATTTACCGCACCCTGTAAAGGCAACAGAGACTCTTGGCACCTATACATTTCACAGTGTTGACTCAGTGAAAGTGATTTTAAGTCTGCAAGACAAGTTTGTGATTTTGCAGATCTTCTGGTTGAATAGCCTAGTAGACCACCTGACACTTGTCGTATCTCAAGGGAGATTTACAGGTTTGCATACATTGACTAAAGAATAATGCACTTGGGGACTGGAAATTGGCAACACAAATGACTATGGTCCACTTTATGAGTAGTATTTATAAATTTGGGGGATTTTGAAAAGTCCTAAGACAGCGGTAAACACATCATATTTAAAGCACCTCTTCACCATATTGAAACACTGTTTTACTCAGGAAAGATTAAAATGCCATGACTGGTTCCTTTCTTTCTGGAAACAAGTGTCCCCAACACACCCCTCCACCAGGCAGCTGGACTGAACAAACTGCTTAGGAGGCATTACAAGGCCTGGTACAGGTTCAACGCCTGTGGCTCAAGTGGCTAAGGAGCCAGCCACATACACCTAAGGTGGCAGGTTCGAATCCAGCCAGGGCTCGCCAAAACAACAATGACGGCTGCAACCAAAAAATAGCCGGGTATTGTGGTGGGTGCCTGTGGTCCCAGCTACTTGGGAGGCTGAGGTAGGAGACTCGCTTGAGCCCAGTAGATGGAGGTTGCTGTGAGCTGTGATGCCACGGTACTCTACCCAGGGGGATAGCTTGAGGCTCTCTCTCTAAAAAAAAAAAAAAAAAATGCTATAAAACCTTTTCTGGTTCCTTTGAATGGCCTAAACACCAGTGGGTACCACCTAGAAATGCCCTTGATGGTGACAGTGTGAGGAGAGAACCGGGAAAGCATCTGTAGCACAAAGTGGTAGCGTAGTACAGAGCATGCACCATTCACTTAGAGTTCCAAAGATCAAATGACTTCTACAATCACTGTCTTCATTTAGAATTCTCACAACTAGTTATACTATAAGCCAAGAGACAGGAGTCACCACTTCCCCCCTTAAAATTATATATTGTTAAGGCTCTTGCTAATGCCTCCCAAGAGAGCAAATCTAAGGAATCCATACCTTGATGTGGCCTCCCTCATATTCATATGGGTATCGGCAGTCAATGATAACAAATTCTTTTATGAGGTTGGCAAACTTGCCATTCAGAACAGATGCCATCTACGGAGACAAAGCCAAGGAGTTGACTATCAGAAACAATTAGGTTCAAATACCTCATATGTGGTAGGTCCTGTAAGGATGACTTACAATTTCAGGAGAGATGTATTTCAAATCCTGATGTTTCCCCGCGACTGTATGAAAAAGGTAACCCTTGGAAAAAAAGAAAAAGAAAGATACTTAAAGAGAATCTGAAAGCCTATATACTTATATTGCCTTCTTGTTTGGTAGGCGGCAGCTTAAAAAAAAAAATCCAAATATTTTCTCACAAACCAAAAATGTATATATTATAATATACCTTAATATAACATAATATTATTATTATCATTGTTTTAGAGACAGAGATTTAGTTTGTTGCACTCGGTAGAGTGCCATGGTGTCAACAGTTCACACTAACCTCCAGCTCTTGGGCTTAGGCGATTCTCTTGCCTCAGCCTCCGGAGTAGGTGGGACTACAAGTGCCTGCCCCAATGCCTGGCTATTTTTTTGTTGCAGTTTGGCTAGGGCCAGGTTCGAACCCACCACCTTCCACATATAAGGCTGGTGACCCACTGACTGAGCCACAGGTACCGGCCCAATATACTGCAAAAAAATAAAATAAAATAAAATAAAATAGCCGGGCGTTGTGGTGGGTGCCTGTAGTCCCAGCTACTTGGGAGGCTGGGCGTTGTGGTGGGGGCCTATAGTCCCAACTACTTGGGAGGTTGAGGCAAAAGAATTGCTTGAGCCCAGGAGTTGGAGGTTGCTATCAGCTGTGATG